GAAAGAACCTTGTCTATAAATAAAAGCTTATTCATTTACCAAAAAAAAAAAAAAAATTATTGTATTTAGCACGCTACATGACTCTGACACATGGCTCGCTTCATATATATATGCGATGCAAAATATCGAATTATGGACACTGACGTCAGAGGCAACCAAGTGTTTGTTCGTAAATCAATTTGAGGAAAAATATATCCAAAGAAACGAGTTGAAGCAAATATTCATCATTAAGTTATTGGTTACTTAATCTTAGCAGCGAGACAAAAAAGAATCATGGGCAATCCTTATTTATTGTTCACATGGAATTTCAAACGATGTTGACATAATTTATATATAAAAATAATAATGTAAATATATCAAATAAATAAAAATAAATAATAATGTAAACTTTACTGATCTACTTGTGAGTTTTATTTTTGGGTAATACAAGTCTTTTGCAAAAAAAATAAACCTCTCCAGCAATAACAATAAAGATGTGGGACTCATTGATTTTTTTTTCTTGTTTTGTCGGACCCACACTTTTAATGTTTCATATGGAGAAATTTTTGTACTTCTACTTCTACTTATATTACCCTTTATTTTTATGCTTTAATGATACCAATTACTACATTACTCATTACAATACGTATTAAAATATTATAGTTTTTTTAATATAAATTTTGGAGTAAATACTCTTTTTAGTCCCTACCAAAAAACACGGTATCCACTTTAGTCCTTTACAAAAATAAATTAGTTAGTTAGTCTCTAACAAATAAAAAGTGGACCCATTTAGTTGAAATCGTGGTCCCTCACAAATTCAAAAAAGACCCATATTAGTCTCTCAAAAGGACTAAAATTGGTCCACCTTGAATTTGTTAGGGACTAACTGACAAATTTATTTTTGTAAGGGACTAAAGTGAGGACCGTATTTTTTGTTAGGATAAAAAATAGTATTTACTCTAAATTTTGTTATAGAGGAGATGTTTTTTTTATCGAAAAAATAAAAATTTTAGAATTCGATGGGGAATTTTTTTTCCCTAGTAACTTACGAAAAGGTATTTGTAGGTAAATTTTTTTTCAAGAAAGTTGGGTTAATTTTAATGATGCTATGTTTGGTTGATTGTAAAATATTGATGAGAATCTAAATCGAAATGACAAAATTACCCATTTTTACATATCTGTTGATATACTGTATAAGGGAATTTTTGTCTCAAAATGTGAAAATGTGTTTCAGAGTTGGTGGGCAAAAAATAATATCATGAGTGGAATGAAATTTTTTTTTTCAATGTGTAGTTAAAAACAGGAATGATGGAAAAAAAAACTATCCCGAGATAATTTTACTATTACTCGTACCAAACATGGTAAAATAAAAATCCCCACCCACTTTCCCATAAATTTTCCTAAAATACTTATACCAACCCCCCCCCCCCAACCCCAAGGTCATCTAATCCCTCACTATACGTGTTCTCATGCATTCCACAAACTTGATTATTTCATGTTACAAGTCACGCAGTTTCACACCATCATATACATAGAGTTGAAAATGATTATAACATCATATTTCCTTCGCTTAAGGCTTTGTTTGGGAGTTGGTTTTAGGAGTAAAAGGAAAGAAAAGGGAGGGTTTTACTAAGTCCTCCTCTTGTTTGTGAGTTAAAAAAGAGGAGGGGAAAGAATTGGAGATTTTTACTAAACCCTCTAAAACTCTCATTCTTCTTAAAATTAAAATTTCCCCAATTTGAAGGGTTTGAGGAGAAAAATAATAAAAATTACTTATCTACCCTTAGTATTAAATGTGAAAACTACATAAATGTGAATCATTTTTAAATGTGACATTATTAGAAAAGTCTCAAATACCGATAGAATTTATCGACAAAAAATATTTCGTCAAAAGCAGTGATGAAATTTTTGATGAAAATCATATACGTCAAAAAATTTCCGTCAAAACTAAAGAGGAAATTAGAGACGGAACTAGATTTTGCCCTAATCACTGACATAAATTTTTTACGAAAAAAAAATTCAGTCAAAATTATTGATAGAATCTAAATTTTGTCAAAACTTTTCACAAAAATATTTCTGTCCAAAATTTTGACGAAATTCATTTCTATCGAAAAGTTTCGACGTAAAATAATTACGTCAAATTTTTTTATGGAAAATATCTCCATCAAATATTTTCGCAAAATTTTTCGACGAAAAATATATCCATTAAAATTTGTCACCAAAAATATTTCTGTACAAAATTTTGACGGAAATTTTTTTTGTCAAAATTCTTTATGGAATCTAAATTTCGTCAAAACATTTCCCTCAAAGTATTTCACAAAAACATGTATTCTTTCAAATTTTTGACGAAAAATATTTCCACCAAAATTTTCCACGAAACACATTTCCATCGAAAATTTTTCACACAAAAATTTCATCAAAATTCTTTACAGAATTTAAATTCCGTCAAAAATAGTTTCGTTAAACTTTTTGGCAAAAAAATTTCAATCAAAATTTTTAACGAAACACATTTCCATAAAAAATTTTCAACAGAGCACATTTCCAGCGAAAAGTTTTGACGAAAAATATTTTCATAAGAATTTGTGACAACAAATTTTTTTTTTGTCAAATTTCTTTGCGGAATCTAAATTTCGTAAAAAAAATTCCTTGAAAATATTGTCAAAAAACCACATTCGTAGAAATTTTTGACGAAAAAAAATTTGTTAAAATTCTTTACAGAATTTAAATTCCGACAAAAGTTTTCGACGGAAATATTTTGGTCATATTTTGTGACGAAAAAAATTTCTGTCAAAATTTTCGACAAAACATATTTTCATCGAAAATTTTCGACGAAAAATATTTCCTTCAAAATTTTCAGTAAAAAATATTTATGTGAAAATTTTCAACGGACACATTTCCGTCAGGAAATTTTGACAAAAAATATTTTTGTAAAAATTTTCGACGAAAAAAATATTTTGTCAAAATTCTTTACAGAATCCTAATTTCGTCGAAAGTTACGACAGAAATTTTTCCCTCAAAATTTTAGACAAAAATATTTCCCTCAAAATGTTAAACAAAAATATTTCCGTCGAAATTTTCCTCGAGACACATTTTCATCGAAGATTTTGGACAGAAAATATTCCGTCAAATTTTTTTACAGAATCCATTTTTTAGTCGATAGTATTTAAGAAATAATTTTCATCAAAACTTTGGACTGAAACTAATTTCTGTCGAAAATTTCTACTGAAACTTTTTTTTTTTGTAAAAAATTCCGTCGCCTTTCGATGAAAATTATTCCGACAGAAAAGTAATTTTTTGTTGAAATTTTTGTCGTTAGCAATTAGAAATTTCGTCGAAAATATGATCTTTTTTAGTACTGTGAAAAATGCATAAATAATTTTGTTTAGATATTTTAAATTTAATTATATTTGTAAAATATAATAATTATATTAATTTTAAAAAAGGGTAAAATTGTAAAAATATCTCATTAACCCTCCAATTTTTTCCTTATTATTTTTTTAACTTTCAAACAAGGGAAGGGAATACTCTTCAATTCCCTTCCCTTCCTTCCCCTTGGATTTATTTCTTTTCCTTCCCTTCCAAACTTCCAAACAAAACCTGAGAATTTTTTTCACTCTAAAAATATTGAATCACACGTCCAGATTAGATAAATTAATCTCCATTATTTTATTTACATAAACTTCGTTGAATTCTCACCTCACCCTCCGTAATTGTGCCCTCTTCACCTCCCTTTGATTTTAAATTCATATAAGATCAATACTGTAACTTCAGAGCCGTAATTCATAGCATTGTCTCTTCAATTATCATCACATCCAACCATTCTTCTTCTTTAACATGTTCAAATTCTTATCTTTTTTAAAATATGTAACTTTAACTATTATTGCTAAGTATAAAATTTAATAAGTTTTATAAGTTCGCTTTTTCTGCTGTTAGTGCATATAAGTTATTTGCAGTAAGTCCAATACGACGTCGTTTTGAAAAGAAAATCATGATATTTTTGTAATTTTAATTTATTTCAGGATTATTATAGTTTTTATAATTATAATTTTTTAATATTTCAATCCCAAAACGACGTCGTTTTAAAAATAAATGCAGATAACTTATCTGTATTAACTGCAAAAATATTTTTCTGAAGTTTTATATATAAAAATCGTAAGCTTATTTCATGAAAACGCACAACGTTACCACTCGATGCCGCCCGCTGTGTTAGTCTTATTCTATAATGTTTTCCTTTTTCTTTTCTTTTTTTAATTCAAATTCAATTGTAATCAAGTCAACAGTTTTAAATATTATCATAAAAAATATATGTTTCACATATTTTCTGATAAAATAATCGTTTAAAGCTTAAAAACGAAAAGAAATAAGTAAACGTATACGTTACTAAGTAATTTCTTCGTATGACTTAAAACTAGAATATTGAGAGCTATTTTTCGTAAAAACTTCAAATCGTATACGTACAAGTATAATTCACTCGAAGAATACATATTTACATCACACGCCTTTCAATTCAATACGTCAAAAGTGTGGTCACTTCTAATTACGTAAGAGTTTTAAACCACTATAGTATTATGTTTTGTCTCGTACGCCCCATACAACAACATCATATATATGCACAGTATGACGACATAAATTTTCCTATTATAGAAAAATAGGATGCTTTAAGTAATGGTAAGTAACCTAAATACTCATATTAGACGCGCCAATTTTAGGTGTAAAAAAGTACCCGTCTATACTTTTTATCGTTGGGGTTAAGTAATCAATCTTAGCCAATAAACGTGGCTTATAATCCTTTATTCTTCGTGGATATATCTACCCAAAATCACGGAGAGAGAAAGAGAGAGAGGAGGGGAGAAAAAAAAAGACAAGTGGAGTAATGTGGAGGGAGGAGGTGGTTGTAAAACAGGTAAACTGCCGTATAGCTAGTCCCAAGCTTTAGAGACTAGTCAAATAAATATAAGAGCCCAATTCCTTAAATCTTATAACCATAAAACCCAATATCATCATCCTTTAATTAAGTAGCAAGAGTGAAACATTAGCAAACTCAAAAATTCCAAAACACAAAAAAAAGTTATAGCAAAACGGCAAGGGTCAATTGTACAAACAGATCAAAGAGAATCCTAATGGAGTCTGTTGTGTCTGAGCTAGAAGGCACGCTTGTGAAGGACTTGGATGCATTCTCCTACTTCATGTTGGTAGCGTTTGAAGCATCGGGATTGATTCGCTTCGTGTTGTTGTTAACACTATGGCCTTTGATTCGGTTTCTTGACATGGTTGGCATGGGGGACGCAGGGCTGAAGTTAATGATCTTCGTGGCGGTAGCAGGGGTTCCCCTGTCTGAGATTGAATCGGTGGCCAGGGCAGTTTTGCCTAAGTTCTACATGGATGATCTTGACATGGACGCGTGGAAGGTGTTTAGCTCCTATGACAAGAAGGTTGTGGTCACCAAGACGCCAAGAATAATGGTAGAGAGGTTTGTAAAGGAGCATTTACATGCAGACGAGGTGGTTGGAAGTGAACTCTCCGTTAATAGGTTTGGGCTCGCCACAGGGTTGGTCCATGGTGACTCAATTAATACCATTTCTGAAAGAGTTGCCAAGCTTTTCAATAATGATGATGCACCTACTTTGGGTATGGCAAGGCCTAGTACTAGTACTAGTACTACATCAACATATAATTCCTTCGCCGAGCTTTGCAAGGTATATAATTAATTATTTAACCAAAGTTACTATACAATATATACCATCAACATATATATGAAGAATGAGACTCAAAACTAATTTAATTTACCATCTCTAACCATTATTTTTATTGTTATTGGATTAAAATCAAATTAATGGTTACAAAATAGCATCAAAATGAGAATCATTAATTTTGATTTTAATTTTAATTTAATAATAATAAAAATGATTGTAAAATATTATAATAAAATATGTTGTAATTATAATTTTGGAAAAATAAAGTGACTTTTTTTGTGACATGCAGGAACAAATGCACCCACCATTTGTGACAAGCCAAAAGTACGAACACCAGCATCTCCGGCCACACCCGGTGGTCTTTCACGACGGCCGCCTCGTGAAGCGGCCAACGCCGTTCACTTCCCTACTAATCCTCTTATGGATGCCCTTAGGCATTTTACTGGCCATGATCCGTATCACCGTGGGCTTTGTTTTGCCGTTTTGGGCCATTCCCCATATCTCAAGGCTATTTGGTGGCAAGGTCATTGTAAAGGGCAAAACACCACCACCTCCCTCCGGTGGAAACTCCGGCGTCCTATTCGTGTGTACTCACCGGACTCTCATGGACCCCGTCGTGCTCTCCTCCGTACTCCACCGCAAAATTCCGGCAGTCACGTACTCCATATCCAGGTTATCGGAGATGCTCTCTCCGATCCCAACGGTGAGATTAACAAGGACACGACACGTGGATGCAGAAAAAATCAAAAGTGAGTTATCCAAAGGGGATTTGGTAGTGTGTCCTGAAGGAACAACTTGTCGTGAGCCTTTCCTTCTAAGGTTCAGTGCCCTTTTTGCTGAGTTAACTGACCGGATAGTGCCTGTGGCCATGAACTACAGAGTAGGGTTCTTTCATGCAACCACTGCGAGGGGTTGGAAGGGTTTGGACCCCATTTTCTTCTTCATGAACCCAAGGCCAGTTTATGAGGTTACTTTCTTGAACCAGTTGCCGGTTGAAGCGACCTGTTCGTCCGGTAAGAGCCCACACGATGTGGCCAACTACGTGCAGAGAATATTGGCGGCCACGTTAGGGTTCGAGTGCACCAACTTTACTCGAAGAGATAAGTATAGGGTCTTGGCTGGGAACGATGGAACTGTTGTTTCTTGTACTTCCTTCGTCGATCGGGTAATGAAGATGGTGAGCACATTCAAGCCATTTTTACATTAACAATGGTACTAATTAAAAGAGAGAATAAGATTAGTCAATTGTTTTATGTTGTTTGTATGGCTGCCAGCATGTGTATTTAGTAACATAATTTGTGGTTTTAATATATTTTTTGGTTTTTTCCATGTAGATTGATTGTTTTGGATTTTTTGTTTTTATTTTTTTGGTTTTGTTATGGTTTATTATTTATTTCCTCGAAACTGTTCATTAGTTAACGTCTTGTCTTTGTTAATTATTTGTTGCCTCTAGTGTTTTTATTAGGAAGAGAGTGAAAGGGGTATTAAAAAATATAAAGAAGTGTTTCTAATTATGCTATAAAAATAATCTCTGCGACCCCAAAACGACATAAATATCATAAACAATAAGTGTTGTAAAGATGATTTTATATTGCTAATTTAGTTAACAGTGAGGTACATTGGGAGCTTGTACCATGCCTTCTCTTAAAACATCACATAAACGTCCATTCACTTTTGAGTTTTCATCTCCTAACTATTTATATAGAGGGAGGATATTTTCACTACCAAAAGTTTCCACTACCACCTTACTACCTATCTAATCACCATTGGATTAACATTTTCTCTCTCTTCAAATTTTTTTTAACATTTTCTCTCTTTGATCCAATGGTGATTTGATAGGTAGTAAGGTGGTAGTAGACACTTTTAGTAGTTAAAATATCCCCCTCATTTATATATTGAGAGAGAGAGAAAAGTAATAACCAGCATTAGAAACTATAAACAAACGCAAAAACATCTCGATCCGAACCAAATCCTATAATTAATTGGGACGACAATATATTTTTGTACTGGCATAAAAATTAGAGCCCCTATATATAAAGTGGGATCAACGAATAAGATTAAGAGTGTAACTTAGTGTAAAATGATCCTATAAAAATTAGAGCCCCTAGATATAAGTGGGATCAACAAACAAGAATAAGAGTGTAACTTAGTGTAAAATAATCCTGACTTTTATTAATTTATTGGTTTGGGTTAGTCCAAATAATTTCTAAGTACTTGCTCTACCCATATTTTTATTTCAATTATAATTTTACAAGTTCTAGCAATAAATATATGGGTCCCCAACTTCTAATATTGTAGGAGAAGATACTTTTTCTCCACCAATTAACATTATGTACTATCAGTAGTATATAGTTGTAAATTAAAGTTAATTTTTCTATCTTTCCCACGTCAGCTGATAGCCTCTAAGAAGAGAAAAAAAAAGCAGCTTTTAAAATTATAACTATGTACTACTCATAATATATAAGAAAAAAATATTTCTCTGGCAACTTGAGATAAATTTATCTTCGGCCACTCCAAAATTACGTCGTTTTGTTTATTTATTTTCTTATATTAATTGATTCACCTTTGAATGGTTATGATTCATTTTTCTCTCTCTTCCTTTATCACCATTAATCCATATTTGTACGGTTATAATTTAGTAGCCAAAAATAAAATTATCTCAAGCAACTTGAGAAACGATAAACCCAATATATAATGCTAATTCATTGCAGGAGAAGAAAATTCCTTCTACAATATGAAAGCTATATTTTCCTAAATATATTTGCATAATTATCACGAGATATTTTCATTATAAGACATGTGAAAAATACAATAAAAGGATTTAATTAGTCGGCTGTACAATCTTTATCGTTTCTATTGTCTTTTTCCTTACCGGTGGACTTTCATTAGGCCAATTTCTATATAAGTTCTCACATGAACTTGAAATTAAATATCTAAATAATTTATAATTTAATTTAAAAACAATGAAATTATAAAAAAAGAAAAAAAGAAGAAGAAGCAATGTCCTAAACAAGAAGTATTGTGAACAATATATTACATTGCTAATTTAGTTAAAACTTTAAAGTGAGGTTGGAGCTTGTACCACCCACTTTTACAACAACTCATAATTGTCCATTCACTCATAATTATTTTTATCTCTCAGCTATATTTTGTTATAAGAGAAAAAGGCAACAACCAACAATAGAAAGTATAAACAAACACAAAACCCCATTGTATAATAAGAAATTGAGAAGCATTTGGTCGGCCCATCCTTTATTAATTTATTGGTTTGGAATGCTTGTTTCACGTCCTTGTTGAATATTAAAAAAAAAAAATTGGGATTCTAGATTCGTAAATAATCAATTCCCGTAGATTTACTGCATATATGAACGGACGTGGGAAACTAGAGGGTAATATTCTTGAAAAAAGTGGCAACACACCAAAATTTAAAGATGATATGCTGAGACACAATCCAAATTAAGACAACTGTGAATATTTTTATTCTCTCAAGATTTAATATACAGAAGCTAAAGCGCTCTTATTTTGTCTTTCATTCTCTTTTTTAACCTGTCTCTGGTATCTCACCCTTACTTTAATGATTTGAAGATGGAAGTAATAAAAAATATTTTTCAAGAAAATCTTAGGATTAGGATAGATGTCTGCCATAAAAATATTTAAGGACATTCAACCATCTATAAATATTTGATTTCCTCTAATTCCTCATCAATAAACATTTTAGCAATATAAATTTTCTATGATTAAAAATCAAAGAAATGTTTTGGGCATATTTTATAGTAGATGGTTATATTTTTTATAGTGGAATTTTCTCATCGAATTTTTGTGAACCACTTAATTTGATAAAATGTATGATATATATATCTTGCAAAATACATGATTAACATTCATCTCTTTATATCTCCTTATTTATTGGTTATGATAAAAACATGATACATATCATGTAAAGTATATGATTAGCATCCACAATACTTTTATCTTTTTATTTATTGATTATTATTATGTTAAAAAATGAGATCAATAATAATTAAAAATAAAATCAAATTTAAGACTTTTTTCAAGAAATGATAATTAAGTATTGAGTAAATAGATATTGGTCCCCAATTTGTTTTTCTTTTTTTTTAAGATTTGATTCCTCAAATATGCATATGGATGAAAAAATGGGTTGTCTCTTGTAACACTTAAATAAAGTTGTTCGGATAGTCTTGAAGGAGAAAATATAAAATAATTTATTACTAAAATGAATTATTAAAGTAAAGGTTAAAATTTATAAATAAAAGTTTAGAATAAGAGTAAAACTCTATAATAAATACGAGGATAAAATAAGCTAGCTACCTCTTTAAAAAATTGGGAGCTTTTAGTGCGTATTTAACATGTCTTATTTTAACTTATCTTTAACTTAAAAACAGAAACTTAACCAAACATGTTTTTATAAAAGTTCTTATTATAAAAAGAGCCTTTTTTTACGATAAAGAAAAAAGCTAAAAGTAATTAGGAGCTTTTATTTAAGATTTATGCCAGCATTTTTTGACTCATATTTATTTTACAATTTTACCTTTAATCTAAACTTGTAGTTATAAATTTTATCCTTTACCTTAATAATGCATTCTAATAATAAATTATTTTATCTCCCCTCTTTCAAAACTATCACAACAACTTTATGTAATCACCAAATAGCTTTTAACTTTATTATTTAAGCTTTATTTTTTATAACTTTAACTTAAGTAGCTTTTAACTTAAAAAAAGAGAGAGGTGCAAATAGGCTCTTAGCTTTTAACTTTTTTTCTTCATTATAAAATTTTTTATAATAAGAGCTTTTATAAAAACATATTTGACTAAATGTCTATTTGGATCCTCTTATTTTTAGCTTATCTTCTCCTTATAAGAAGAAGTTAGGCCGAATAGGTTTTGAGAAAAACTCTTATAATGAAAAGCTCTCTTTTTATAACGAAGAAAAAAGTTAGAAGCCAAAAGCTCCTAGAATGAACTTTTTTTAAACTCTTATCAACTTTTCTTGAATTATATGCTTTTTTTGAAATGAAGAGCTATAGAGATAGATAGGCTTTTCCTGAAATGTGTAAAAAATTTATGTAATAACCAAACAACTGTTAGCATTTTGTTTTAGGGGAGGTTATACTCACAACTTTTTTCTTACTACATTTTATTACCAAATATTAACTGTTGATTTTCGTAAATCTAACGGTTATAATTTACTGAGAATTAATAATTAATTAATAAGTGTGACCCAATAAATTATAACTGTTAGATTGACAAAAATCAATGGTTAAGATTTGATAGTAAAAGATAATAAGAAAAAAAGGTAATAACTAATAAACATAACATCTCCCTCTATTTAAGTTTTTTTTTTAGCTTTACCTTATAGCTTCTAACATAAAAAAAATCCAAACACTAAATGGGATAAGTATTTTAGGGAATTCCATGTTAAGCATTTTTTTTTTTTTTGGTAATCTAAGGGGTTAACAACAACTCCCCAAAGAGATCAATTAAATAAAATCGTTCTGATAATACAAGACAGAGACAAATCAACCCAATACAAAGAACAAATACCAGGGGGAGGGTTTGAAAAAACACAAAAATTATTCTCAACAGGATAGTCTAAAGGATATTTAGAAAGTCAATATGCACAACTATTTCCTTCTCTAAAAACATGAACCAGGTGAACTTCTCAATTCTTTTGTAACCATGCTCGAATCTGAGTCACTAAGCGAGACTCTCGAGCTGCTCTTCCACTGTTGGAGAGCAAAGTGATAACTGAGCTTGAATCACTTTTTAGGATGCAGCGTCTCCAACCTCTAGCCCAAGCAAATTCAAGGCCCTTGAGGATGTCCCATAATTCTGCAACAAAAGCTGAACAATGGCCAATATAGTAAGCAAACCCTTCTATCCAATAACAATTTTCATCTCTTATAATTCCTCCACAAGCAGCACCCATGCCATCACTCCTGGCTGCACCATCTGTGTTTAATTTCACCCAACCTGTGTCCGGAGGTAACCATCTAATAGGAACAGAAATGTAATTCTTGGTCAACTTTGTCCCTATAGAAGGTTATCCAGGCTTGTGTATACTCACGAACCAGACTCTCTACGGACTGCACCTTGTATGCTTTCCTGTTATTTTCCACACCATGCACCTGATTGTTTCTCCACTGCCAGGCTAACCAAACAGTAACAGCAAAATCCAATGACCAGGGGGCATCAAAGCACAAAATAGTTACATTTTGAATATTCAAGGAAAGACAAGCATCTAAATCAGTATCAAAGAAATCATTTATCAAATTTGGCCTCAAAAGATTAGACTAAACTTTTTTAATCTTTGGACAGTCACGTGCCATTTAAATAATGAATTCCTCATGAAAATTACAAATAGGACAGCTAGGAGGACCCAATCTAAAACATGAAAATTCCAAGTTAAGCATTTAATGCTAAATAGAGTTAGATTGCCATTTTATCTTATATTAATTAATAAATATGAATATTAAAGGGACTCATCTGTAGCACAAGGTATTACATGATATTGATTTTTATTATTTTCTCTTGTTTAAAGAAGAAGAATGCAAATCGATCTCTATCTTTCAATTTTGTAAATAAAAAAAAACTAAGCATAACTAATAATAATTTTATGACTAATACCTCGATTTGCCACATCTTGTAGAAAGGAGATCATCTTCTGTACATCTGTAGTAGGTACATCTGTCATTCAACAAATGACACTTGGATAAAAAAAATATTTTTCTCTTCTTTTCATACAAGATGACAGTCATTCCTCATTTTTTATTGGATAGATGTACTGAGTGAATGGTACAGCAGTAATACCATAGATATTTCGTGTAGAAAGTCAAGCTTCTCTCTTTCAAAAAGTATGATTGCATAATTAGTAGTCCTATTTTTTCATGACTCCTTACCTAGTTAACAATTGAATTGTTCAGAAAATTGTTCGAGACATTGACCCGTTTGTCACACTATTAAATACTATTAAATTGAATATCACGTTCTAATCAATTTTTTTTCCAAAATATCATATCACAAAGTCGTTACAATAGCACGTGACTATCGTTTGGACACGTGACCATTTTTGGGGCCATAATACTCGGTGAATAGAGAAATGAGTTTGGCCAGTCAAAGTGGCAGACTGCATTGTCTAAAAAAGCTATCTGTGTGGCCTAACTCGTTGAATAGTGAAGCGTCTATAGTTGGACAAGTGGTGGCCTAGCGCAGTGAAACACACTATGATGTGTAGCGAGCATAGTACACACTGCACCTGCAATTCGTACATGTGTGACACGTGTCACAAGCACCGTAAACTCGCTACATATTGTGCAAGATGCAACCTTAAATACGGCTCCCACATCTACCCTGCCCCCACCCGTCATTCACTCTCAACGTACTCTCTCTATATATATAAATTTCTCTTCAGGTTTTCTCTCTCAACATAAGGTTAGTGTTTATATATTTTTTTAGAAAACTTCAAAAAAACATTATAAGTTTTCTCAAAATCACTTATCATCTTCCCAAAATTTTGAATTATTTACACGTCTAACCTAAAATATTTATTATTTGTTAAAATAACATCAATTTTATTACTTTGAAAATTAATGTTACAAATCATGATCTCAAAATATGTCTTTAAGTGAAAAATATATACCATAAATATATTATATTATTATAAAAATGAAAAGGCTAGGCTGCAGGCTTTTTAAAATAAGCCTATGGCCTAATTTTTAAATAATTTTTTAAAAAAACCTAAATCTGCTCTATTTAAAAAATAGAGTAGGCCAAGTAAAGCCTAAGATAGGTCAGGCTATAAATCTCTGATAGGTCGTCTGACTCATTTATATCCCTAGTTACAATAGCATCTCCTAATACTTAATTATATAATTTTTATACTTTGAAAACACGTTATGCATAATCTTTTATATTTTATAAGGGTTTATTGTTTGTTATGCGCACTCGCTAATGAAGCACTCCCCTAGGACTTGTAATGTGATCATTGTCTATCAATACCTTGCCCAACGTTTACTAGAGCTATTGGAAGAAGATTGGAATAGTGTTATATCTGCTTGGAATCGGCAAAAAAATTAATTTAATGCTTTTTAATAAATTAATTACTCATTTATTACAGTTTTGGAAATAATTACACATTTATTGCACAATGTAACGCCCCTTTTGGGCGTCACATGAGACGCCCCCTTCAAGCGTCACACCCTAAGGGGAGACGCCTCAATGGGGCGTCACATGTGACGCCCAAAAGGGGCGTCTCATTTGAGCCCTATATATACCCCCATTTTTACCATTTCACTTCTCACTCTTACCGTTTCACCTCTCTCTAACCACGGATTGTGCTCCCGACCGAACGCAGAAATTTTCGTAGCGAAGCTCTGCCAACTTAGGTAAGTTCGTAATACCTGCTATGTATACGTTTAAATTACAGTGCTACCTTGTGAACATGTTAGGGTTTATCGTATATTAGAGACTTAGAACATAAAGATAGACACTTAGAAATTCTGTATCATGCTATGAATGTTGTAATGATTTAGTAATTTTTTTGTTACGTAGTTATTTTTATTAATATTTAATTATGCATTGGGGTTTAGCGTATTAATTAGTGATTTAGAAAATAGTGATAGTGACTTAGTAAATTTTGTATGATGTTATTAATGCAGTAGTGTACTGATAATTTTATAGTCACTTAGGCGTTATTATTAGTACATATTTATGAAATTAACATAATACTTAGGGTTATGTATTATGTCAGTATGATTTAATTTGTGTCCGAAGTTTTATTATTATTTAATTACAAATAAATTACTGTACTACGTATTAATATTATTACATTAATTACGATTGTAGTAAAAACGTAAGGTTTATGCTTAATATTTTTGATAATAAATTAGGGCATTGCTTAATTAATTTGTACATAAAATGTGTTGTTACATGTGACTAATTTCAATATTGTTTTATATTATATAGTTTAGGGTCATGGGTGATTCATCATCATCTGCGGGTTCTGCATCAGATCCAAAGCCTACCGATCCTAGCATGTACATTATACCTGGGCCTTATAGATGGGACGTCCTTCGTAAGAGGACGCAGAGTGCCTATATTTCACAGCGAGTGTGGAATACGGAACACGTGAATAGACTAAAGACCAGGCGTGGTAGACCACAAGGGGGGCCACCTACCGGCGCTATTCCAGAGGTGGTCACCGACTACCTCACACAGGCTGGATTTATACATGTTGCCCGCATGCGACATATCCAGGTATGCAATTTTTGGCGTTTTGTATTTATGTGATTATTCAATACCATTTGTTAACACGTGATAATTGTATAATTTATTTCAGATTGATGCCCCATTAATTAGTGCTCTGGTCGAGAGGTGGAGACCAGAGACACATACTTTTCACATGACCCAGGGTGAGATGACTATCACCTTGCAGGATGTGGCCGACATATTGGGATTGCCTACTGACGACATTGTCGTTAGCAGATCTACATCCGAGGATTGGCCCGCTGTTTGTGTTGCTGTTTTTGGCGCCCAACCACTGGCCAGTGAGTTTCATCATTCAGGTGACCTCCGCATCTCATTCTTGGATCATTTATATAACCGATGGACTGATCATGCCGGGGATCATGATCGCGAGATATATTTCACAAAGGCGCACATTGCCCGCATGCTGGGGTGTTGGTTGCTTACGGACAAGTCTGGAGGTAGCAATATCGGTTGTCGGCTAGTCCCGTTGCTTGGGGGAGGATTTGATGAGGTTGGCCGTTTCAGCTGGGGATCTGCAGTTCTGGCACACTTTTTCAGGAATTTGTACGAGTGTACAGATGTCGGTCGATCTGACATGGGTGGTTGCCATATTCTTCTAAAGATTTGAGCATGGATACGATTTACACCCATTGTTCCACCCCTTCCTCCTCATCCAGAGCCTGGCACGCATTATGGATGCCGGTATGCTTTATTAAGTTCATTCGATTTCGCTAATGATTTATCATATATACTAATTGTATACTTGCTTGATGATGATTGATGATGTATGTTTCTGATGATAGGTTTAATTCGGTGGCAAGGTTTAAGCCGCATGAGGTTGTCCATTATCGGGCAACCTTGGATACACTATGTAGAGATGAGGTAAGGTTGTTGTTACTTAGTATCTTGTTATTACATCATGCATGTATATTTTATGTAACACCGTATATTCGTTATCATTTTGTGTGTAGGTGGTGTGGCAACCATATTTCGATTATCAGTGGCTGGACGTGACTCCACAACAGCAGTATCTTTGGCTTGCTGTCACACCCCTTATTTACTTCCACACCGTAGAGGCATGTCAACCGGATAGGTGCATGCGACAGTTTGATCTGGATCAACCCATCCCGGATGTGAGCAGGAAGTAGAAAGTGATCCATGATCATACTCTGCGGGGGAAAGTTGACGAGAACTGGAGGCATAAGCTTCGTCCTTGGATTTCCAGATGGCAGGGCCAGGGAGCAACATATCGCTTTTCCCCCTCCATTACTCGGGTTGATGTCACCTAACTATGAGTACATGGAGTGGTACAGAGCGAGAGGAAAGAGATACATTTCTCGGAGGGCAGCAAAGATTGGACAAATGGTGAGTTTATCATTTATTTTAGCAAACATAATTATTTTACATTTGTTTGACTTTGCTTACACATTGTTATATACAGATTGATGGTCTAGAGATGTTGTATCATGCAACAACTACAGAGGAGTTTCCTCGCTTCGGCTTAGAGTATATCCATGAGGAGATTGGCAGGATTATTGGCATGTTTCGGGAGAATTCACGGGTAGATGAGCCTGGACCTGAGGCACCCCCGATCCAGACACGGCATGATCCGCAGTTGTCCCTGGAGGTTCCCCGTAATAGACAGGAGGGACGCGGATTAGGACGTACACGTGAGCGAGTTGAATTTTTCCCTGTTTCAATGATTGTACCGAGACCAGTGGTCGAGACTCAGGGATTGCTCATACCTCCAGTAATTGGGACTACTTATGGGTCATAGCCGATGTATCATCACGGATCCCAGGATACAGGTGGTCCTAGCCAGTCGGAGTCTCAGCACCCATACATGGATTCATAGGAGGCAGTTTTCCAGGCCAGTCCCATGCCTATGGCTGGGGTCGATCAAGCATACTCACAGTCGTCCTCACAGCCATATTCACAAGGACTTGATGCTGACGTGCCAGATTAGTCTGTAGAGGATACTGAGTACGTGTGGTCAGCACTAGGTCTTATCCTAAGTAGCCATGACAGTGAGGAGACTCTAGCTACGGACACCCAGAGTCAGGGATTCACGCCATCCCACATGCTGGGCAGTACTTCAGGCCATGTATATGCACATTATTCAGGCCACTCCTCGAATATTGGAGGAACCGCACCGGCAGATGATTTCATTCAGGCGGCGATGGATGATCTTATCGTCAATAAATATGTACCTAGAACGAGATCCGCAATAACGTCCGCATCGAGCTGTCTATGACTCTGGGAAATGTGGTCATTTAAACAATTGTGATCTCCACCCCATCTCGTAATCTTCTAATTTTCACCAAACACTGGTTTGATCGCCCTCACGCGCCACGGGCAACCTTTATTATACGCACAACATTTCATGGATAACTTTGCAGGCGTGCTCTCAATTACAATTGCTTCTTGATGCTCCCTAATGAGATGACAACCTTTATCATACACACAACATTCCATGGATAACTTTGCAGGCGTGCTCTCAATTACAATTGCTTCTTGATGCTCCCTAATGAGATTGTGCTTAAGTGCCATTTGGACATCTTTTTTTGTTGCAAATTCTTGGTTAATAAATAACTTGTCACCCAGTTGCCACGGACCTTGTACTGAACCCGATCCTGAAACCGTACCATCAATGCATGATTCTTGTTCGCTCCGATAACTCCAATCAATGTACGAATAATGCGGAATTCCTTCCCAAAAAGGAATAACAGCTTCGTCACCTACATCTGATGATTAAAACTTTTTAATACAAACTTCCTAAATCAGGTATTAAATCAGGTATAAATCAGGTATATACAAATTATATCAATTGCCTTCATGATGATTTCCTAATGGGGCAGACGCAACGTCATGCAATTGCGGCATTTGCATGACCACTGCTTCATGGTATACTGGGATTTGAGACGCACCCATCTCACCACCTTCATCTCCTTCTGAAGCACTAGCATCCTCCGCCAGAAGACGTTCTTCCATTGCGATATTTTCATCATCATCGTCGTCATCTTAGTCATGCATTTTTCAGGTCGGATCATTTTCATCTCTCTCAGAAATGTTACCAACTGGAGACGCATGAGCGACAAACGTTGATGGAAGACAGGGAGAATTTAAATCAACTGACCTCACCGGTAATGGAACATTCTCCGCTGTGGCGATGTCGACATACAACTCCAGAAAATCTGTCCTTGACTGGTTGAAAATTTCTTCCATTGTCATCTCCATGTCTTCATCGTCAACCACTTGCAAACTAATTTATTTATCACATTGCCATAACCTTGTCGTGATCTGAGTGATACATTGGTTGCCTTGAAGACTTAACTTCTGCTGAATTCTCTGATGCAGTTCGCCAATGGTTGTTTTGCGTTGGATACGTGTCGGCCTTTTTTCACCTTCAAACATGACACGTTGTCAACCTTCTACCTTCCTACCATTGTAATATAACACAACATGAACAAAATTAGGATGTGAACGCATTCTTGAATAGAATAAGAAATAAAATGAAAATACTAAATTAAATATAAAGGATGTATGATGTCAGAATTTTGGTAAAGAAGAGATATGAAGAGTGAGAGAAGAGGTGTGAAGAGTGAATAGAATGGTAGGGGAATATATAGGGCCGCACATGTGACGTCCCAATTGGGCGTCACAATTGACGCCCCATTGAGGCGTCTCTCCTTAGGGTGTGACGCCGAAAAGGGGCGTCACATTGTGCAATAAATGTGTAAATTTTTCAAAATCTGTAATAAATGCATAAAAACTTTATTAAAAAGCATTAAATTAATTTTTTTGCCGCTTGGAATCCTTTGTAATTTATTTATGGGGCTACGCCACTCCCCATTACAAAAAGTAAAATAAAATAAAAATCATTTTATAATGTACACCTATCGCTTCATCTCTTGGGTAGTTTGGGGATGATTACACTAACATCTATCTAATAAAAAGATGAAGAAGAAAAGAAAGATGAAAAATAATAATAACAATTTACACTCTTTATGCATATTAATGTTTAGGGAAATGATAGTCTCATGCTACATAAGATATCTATCTCATGTTTTACACCAGAATTTTGTGCCAATCTTTTATTTTCTTTTATTTTTTCTGTTTAAATTGTGGACCCCATATATTTGTATCACCCACATGAGATAGTACTCTCATGTAACATGAGATTAATAAACCCTTAATGTTTAATACTTTCTCATTAATTTAAAGTTTTTTCTAGTTTAAAAAAATGGGTAATGTGAAGGCAACGTTGTAGGGGGGAAAAGTGTCATAGAGACGGACAAAAATTCAACCGGCCCACATGTTTTTGAAAAGAAAAAAAAAAACACTAATCTATGGGTCATCTGCACCACTTTTTGTTTTTCCTGCAACGTTACTTTCATACCCTAGAAAAACGAGTCTTGAAAAAATTTACAATTTTTTCTTTTTAAAAATAGGAAAGTGCTTACGTTTAAAAGACTTATCATAATTAGGGGATAAATAGGTTAGGTCAACATACAGAACCTACGACTATCTTATATTAGGTCAGACTTGACCTATTATAAATAGTAAAATAAAACATGTCTATGTTTTAAAAAAATTAATTTAGAAAATAGGCTATGAACTTTTTTATATAAGTCGAGTCTATAAGCCTACATGTCGGCCTATATCATATTATTTATTTTAAATAAAATACATAAAATTATTATTTTAATAATTTTGAATAATAAAATAATATTCTTTTAGTTATTCTTTTAATTGTTGAATGTTTAATAGGCTTAAACAGATTAACAGGGTCAATGTTTTTATTTTTTAAATATAGGTTATGACAGACTTATAATTTGGGAACTATACAGACTAACAGGCCATGCCAGACCCAATAATTTTTACACAGGCCTTAGCCACTATCGTTGCCATCATCTTTCTTCCTTCTCTAAACCTAAGTCCCTAATCTTCTCATATCACTACCATTTTTGTTCGGTCTCTCACTCAGAAATTGAGACACAACCGCCAGCCACTACCGTCCGCGCTCTGTCAGCCAGCCCCTAGCTTCATCGCCTTAGCTGCTCAGTCTTGGCCTTAGTTCCTACATTGAAAGCTTTTTGTATTCTCGATTTTTTTACTTCTTATTCTGTAACTTTTTTCTATTTTGCTTTTTTTATAAATTATTCTGTAAGACAATTGTATTGTTTAAACTGATAAAAGCCACATAGCTGATGCATTAATACTACAGGTTCATTTAAATCGAGCGAATTTGTGAGCCAACCCGTGAGCCATTTTTTCAAGTAAACTCACGAGCCATATTTTTGAGCCAATCCGTGAGTCAATATTAACCCGGCTCAGGTCGAGTTAGATTGAGTTTTTTGACTCATTTTTTCAAATTGCACGTGGGTTGGGCCAGGTCTAGTCGAGTTGGCCCGTTTTGTCAACCCTATGAGATGTGTGTAATATAATTTGTATAGTATTCAATTCCCATTATAATCCAAAAAAAGAAATACGCAATATAAGTGAATAACTTTAAATCCAATGGTTTAATTAATTACCTCGTTGCCATAATTTATTAATATAAAATAAAGTATCATCATATCCATATATTTTAAGGGAGAAGTATTTCTTCAATGGAGATAAAGTCATCTCCAGTGAGCTCAAAAAGACGTCATTTTGGAATAATAAAATTAAAAAATTATAACGATAAAGACTAATATAACCTGCAATATATTATATTTACAAAAATACCTTGATTTCCGTCCCAAAATGACGTCGTTTTGAGCTCACCGGAGATAACTTATCTCCATTGACTAGAGAAATCCTTTACCAATATTTTAATTTGACTAATTAATATTTTTAAATTAAATGATTACGCAAGTTAAGACAAAACTTCATCATATCCACATATTCATTAGACTTCCAATAATGTTTAAAAGTTATTTTGTAGCATAGAATGCTTTAATCACTTTTCTTAATTATTTGAGTATTTCTTTTCAAAATAAAGAGCATTTTATTTATTCCTTTATATAAACAATATTGCTTTAAATTTAGTGATTGCTCTAAAATACTCATTGCAATTACTTATTTGCCGTCAATCATCACTTCTTCATGTCTTGTTCAAATACGTTATTATTTGTCCCTGATTACTTGTGATGAAATAACGTTAAATGCCAATAATCTAATTAATTAAAGAGTTTGGTGTTTGTCATTTTAAATGACATAAGTTATGCCATTTTAGGAGAGAGATAGACACATAAAAACGAAAATCATGGGGGAGAGAAAGTGGGTGATTTTTTTTAATTTAAAATTCAAATTTTCTGTGTCTGTATCTTCCTTAAAATGACATAACTTTTTGTCATTTAAAATGACAAACACTTTTTCCCTAATTAAAATAATTACTTTAAATAAAAAGGTAATCAATTTAAATCAACCATTATACGAGACATACTACTTTAATTTAACCATGTCATTCTCATATTTGATAAATGCAAATTCAAATTTATTGTTATAAATACTAAGAGTTTAATAACAATTTCTTCAAGTGGTAAGGATCTTGTTCCTTTAAGTAGAGGTATCGAGTTGGTAGATAATATATCAAGAGTTTAATTAAGCAAAAGAATCACTTTAAATATTTAAATTAATTAATTAAAATCAATCATGATCATTCAAATATCCATTAGAAGCTAATTAGATTTAACGATCTTATTATCATAATTAATTAACATAGATAAAATATCATTGTATCCACATACTTAAGTGATTAATCTTTTTTAATTTAAATAATTATGCAAATTATTTACTCATCCCTACCAACATACCACCTCTTTAAAAATAATTGATGACCAACTGCGGGCTTTTTGACCCTTTTGCCTTCATTAATTAATTAATAATCATTTTGCCTCTTATCTAAAATTATCTATCAATCTGCTCCTCTTTAATCGATTAACTTGAAGATTTAATCGATTAAATGGTCAAAACTGGCAAAAATGGTTGTCTTGAAGATTTAATCGATTAAATATCTCTCTTAATCGATTAAATATCCCAAATGAGCGTGAAAGCATGGATTGAATGAGACAAACACGGTATTAGAGGTTATTTGAATTTTGAATTTTGAATTTAATGTAATAGGAGCTGATTGCGTTTTGTATTTAATAGGACGCAGATTGCGTCCTATTAAATACAAAACGCAATCAGCTCCTATTACATTAAATTCAAAATTCAAATAACCTCCAATACACGAAAAACAAAACTGATTGAAGATTCTGCGAAGTATTTTTATGATGAATATGCAAGACGAGAAGGGTTCGTTGTTCGCCTTGATCGCTGTCATCGTTCCGAGGTTGACAATAGGATCACTTCGCACCGTTTTCATGTAATAAGCAAGATTTTCATGTGAGAGGTAGAAATGGAGCCAGGCCTGTTCAGGTAAATCAATCCAGTTTTCAAGAATCGTTTTTCTTTTCGTGCTATTGCTAAATCAAACCATTAACAGTGTTTGCATTTGCTTATCTATGCAAAAAAAGACAAAAACACTGTAACTACTACAGATAGAATTTAACCCAATGTTATTAAACCCGGACTGGTGATCAACCCAGTCAGGGTACCGGGTCAGTGGGTCACTGGTTCAACCGCATGAACCGGATATATATATAAATTTATATTTTATACTCAATTATATAATAAATATTTTAAATGATGCAAGTAGTTTAGTGGTAAAGACTATAATTTATATCTTCATAACAAGAGTTCGATTCCCACTAAATATTATTTTGAAATAATTCTATTAAATGATATATATATATATATATATATATATATATATATATATATATATATATATTAAATGGTGCATATCAACTAACAAATAAAGTCAGCTTAGTGATAAATTATTGTTGGACATTCAGGACTTAAGTTTACAACAGTGATTTAACCATCAACCAATACATTAGAACTCAAATTCTCTCAAAGAACTTGAGTTATAAAAAGCCACCGACTGCGCATTGCTTTTCTTCTGATTATAAAGCATGACCCAACAACATGTTACAAAATCTTCTTTATATAAATTACAAATAATAATAATAATAATAACAATAATAATAATTCGTATAAGTTTATGTTTTTTGCATAATAAAATACTCAACAAATTTTAAAACTATTTTATTATAATAATTTGGGTTTGATGTTTGTCGTTTTAAACGACATAAATTATGTCATTTTAAGAGAGAAATAGACACAAAGAATGAAAATCACGAGAGAGAAAGTGAGTGATTTTTTTTTTAATTTAAATTTTAAATAAAAAATATTTTCTTATGTCTAACTCTCTTTTAAAATGAGATAACTTCATGTCATTTAAAATAACAAACATTTTTTCCTTATATTTTTTTAACGCACTTTTTTGGTTGAAATTTTATCTTCATTTTTTTTTTTCTGACGGGTAGTAGTCCATTTGTTATTCTTGTTGAATTTTACTCCGTGACAAAAACAAAAACATTTCTGTTTTTCGTATTTTCAGACAGCCCAACAAAAGAAAGAGGCTGGAATCTCGCGCCAACATCACTCGTAGAAGTTACAACGGATCAGGACGTTTTACGGCTAAGGAGGTGTCGTTTCGTTCACATCAACGAGATCTCACCACGTGTCGCAGACGTTGTTTTTGCTGTTATCATCTTGCACGCGACACCATGAACATGAACCTGTCATCGCCTACATTTTCTCTTCCCCAGGATGTCCAACCGGACACCCTCTCTATCTCTCTCTCTCTCTCTCGCTCTCTCGCTCTCTCATGGAAACCATGACGAAGAGATTCAATTAATCATTTTCTGACCTTTCATTGCAAGATTTGATTTTGAACTTTACCATTCCCACTCTTTCTCTCTCTGAGTAATATTCAGCTTTCGGCGAATTCGATTCTGGGGGTGTATAAAGTTTGGTTTTTTCTTATCTTTGTTGGAAAGGGTATTCGGATCTATATGTACATGTCTTCCTATTGGTGTTACAGGTGTAATAGATTCATCAGGTTATGGAGGGAAGACGTGGCGATTTGTCCCGGTTGCGACAGTGGATTTGTCGAAGAAATCGAAAATCCTAACCGTTCTGTCCACGTGGACGGGCGACGTCGGCGGTTCCCGGCTGCAGCGGCCATGTACATGATCGATCAGAATTCTCGTTCCGCTCACCGGCGGCACTGCAGAAACAGAGGCGGTAACCGTTCACCGTTCAATCCGGTCATCATGCTACGCGGTGGATCCGCGGAGGGGACAAGTCGCGAGGGCGGAGACAGTCGTGGCTTCGACCTTTTCTACGACGACGGTGCCGGTTCCGGTCTCAGACCTTTGCCTCCGAGGATGTCGGAGTTTCTTCTTGGATCTGGATTCGACAGGGTAATGGAACAGCTTTCTAATATTGAGGCCAGCGGTGGTGTTGGGAGACTCAACCAGCACCCTCCGGCGTCAAAATCCGCCGTGGATTCGTTGCCGGCGATTGAGATTGAGGAGAGACACATGACCATGGAATCACACTGTGCCGTTTGCAAGGAACATTTTGAACTTGGAACCGCAGCAAGGGAAATGCCTTGCAAACATATATACCACCCTGAATGTATCTTACCATGGCTCGCAATTCGAAATTCTTGCCCCGTTTGTCGCCATGAATTGCCTTCTGATCCACAGCAGAATACACGTGATGCTTCAGCATCAGCAGAGCAATTGGTTTCCTTAAACGAGGAAGAGAATGTGGGGTTGACAATTTGGAGGTTACCAGGTGGTGGTTTTGCGGTGGGAAGGTTTTCAGGAGGAAGAAGAGGAACAGAGAGGGAGTTTCCTGGTGTATACACAGAAGTTGATGGTGGGTTTAACAATGTTATTGGTGAACCGAGGAGGGTTTCTTGGTCAGTATCAACATCATCTAGAGGGAGAAGGACAAGTGGTGGTGGATTGCGCAGAATGTTTAGCAGTTTGTTTAGTTGCTTGAGAGGTGGAGTTAGGCCTCAGCACTCTGCTTCTTCTACTATAGAATATTCTGGATCCATGAGAAGGAGTAATAGTGCATCTCGTTCCAACGCGGATCCCTCTCCACGTTCTCGCAGGACTTGGTCTATGGATGTTAATAGTGGAATGAGACCATGGTAACTACTCAACCTGGTAAAGGATATATAAAAGATATTCAATGGGAGAATTTAGAGGGAGAAAAATGTGGGGGCAAAAAACATCGGTATATTCATGCTAGTTTCATAATATTATCTATAACACCTTCATATAATGTTCATTTCATATTTTTTTTTCTCCCTCTCATTATTTGTAAAGTTTAATTAGCTTCAGTTTATATCTTTCATATTCGTGTCCTTGTCATTGTTTTCCTCAAGAAAATCCATCCGTTCAAATTGGCATGCTAACGCTGAGCATACTTTCTTAAATTGGTTGTTGATCATTTATTTGATGCTGTGAGAAACATCAATAATTCTGTATGGTTTTGTTCAAGGAAGCGGGGACACTTGTAAAAACAGGAAGAGTCGGGTCCGACACGCTCCGACACGGTGTCGGACACGCGGTTGACTTTTTTCGACACGTTGACCATTTCAACACGCGAATTTGACCGTGTCCGACACGGTCAAATGACATTTTCGTAATTTTAATTTTTTTTAATTTTTTTTAAAGTTAAAATATATTAATAAAGCTTCCACCTGATCAAATCAATTTTATCTTTTTGTCTTTTTTCCCCTTAAGTAGATAAGAGAACATCTTAGCATCATTGTTGTCAATTCCTATCACGCTCTTGTTGTATCTTCTTCTCTCTGATCTCTCTCTAATATGATTTGATCTCTCTATCTGATATTATATCTCTCTCTCATCCCAGTTCTTATTTTTTTTTATTAAAGCTTCAATCTTTATAACGTGTTGATAGGTATTATTAATTTAGTTTTATTTTTTTGTTAAATTATTAAATATTAAATGAAATATACACTATATAAATTAAAAATATTATTTAATATTAAAACGTGTCCCAACGTGTCGAAATCCATAATTTTTTAGGATTGACGTGTCGGAGTGTCGTGTCGTGTCACGTGTCGCGTGTCGTATCGATGCTACATAAGTTTTCTTTGCTGGTGAGTTATATGAAAAATAAAAAATAAAAAATAAAAAAATTCTGGGAATGGGTGAGGGGCGCTTGGAAATTGCGTTTGTCTCCTGTATCCCTCTCCCTCTCCCTCTCTTTTTGTTGGGTATATTGATGGACCGAAGCCCAGAGAAAAGAAAGAAACTACTAAAATTCTACGAAGATATAACATACCAAAACGGAGTATTGAGACCCTATAGAAATCAGCATGCTGCAGAAAGAGGGCTTAAACCTTCAAGCGGGGCGACGCTTTAGAAACACATCGATTGACTTCGTTGAAAACGTCTTAGAAACACACATCTCAAACCAAATTAATAATGGTTGAATCATTGAATTGTTAATAATATGTTTCCTTATCGGTTTAAGGGATAATACATTACTGTTTAATCAAATACACCGGAGAACACCTGCAACTGCAATAGATACATCATCCTCATTTCTCGGGCAACATTTAGTGCTCTGATTACGTTGATAATGTCATGGTTCTGTTTTCTGCCTAGAAACAGTGTTGGCTCAATGAAACTGCTAATCTCATGTGCAGTCAAATTGCCTTACATCTAGTATCTTATCAGGAAACATAAAATGGATGCGCATTGCGACATGAGGTTACTTCCCTTCATCCAAAAAAAATACCAATGTAGGAAATAGAATTATAAAGATAGAGAGAATCTAGAGGAAGAAAAATTTAAGGGGGAGATTGAAATATTGGGAGAAAGACTTGAATTATTTTCTTCTGCCTTCCTTCTGAGCTCAGTGAATTAACAATTTATAGGATTATAACTTCAACAAGATAAGGAAATTCTAAATTAAATTAAAAATTTATAACACTCTTACTAATAAAATAATATAATTAATTTTAAACCATTAAAATAAAGATAAACGAATTTAATAACAAAATGATAAACTTATAACTGCAACAACACGCTTCAGATTATGTTATGGATGTTGCCTGGTGGCTTTTCATAATGACAACATTTTAGGGTGCTTGTCTTTGGTATTTGGTAACCATTGGAGGTCTAAGATATGGAGATGTGATTGAATCCTCCAACAAGAAGTACCTTATCTTACTGTGTACCAAATTGACCCTAACAGATAAAAAGTATGATGGATGGTATGGTAAACTGGTCAAGAATTCTCAAGGGGTTAGAGAAGTCTTGAGGTTACTTCGCCAATTGGGCTGCCTCTTACTCTTAGCATGATTAGAGGCAGAGCAATTATGGAGACTAACAACGAAAGAGAAGGAAAAAGAAATAAAGCTGAACGCACATCAATTGGCTATCTGGGGTAGTGTATAAACCTGGAACAAATTTTGGTGCTACTGTAGCACCAAAGATTCAGTACATCCCACCAATATAAATATTACACTTCAGTTAAAGTTTTATTTTCTCTGACAAATTTTTTTTCTCTCCTATAATGTGTAATACTCTCATTGGTGAGATGCACTGAATCCTGATGCAACGGTAACACTAAAGATTTATTCATAAACCTGGTTGGAATCACAAAGACTCAAACTTATGTCACTCTGCTCACCAACCATTTAGTATCTTCTTGTTATTAAGCAAATATTAATATTCCATTTGTTTAATCAATAGCAAAATTGAGCGGGGATTGTAAATCTTTATACCTATGGTGTCACGCCACAGATGATGAAATGAGAATAAAATGCATCAACAAATTTCATCCGGTTCAACTTTTTTACAGTTGAGGCTGATAACTTGTTTGCCACTCTCACAAAAAAATAAGTCTATCAAAAAATTATATTATATATTTTCGAGAATATATAATAATGTGTGGCAAATAAAAATTTCCGCCACAAAGACATAAATATTTTTCTGTAATTAAAAAGAAAGAACTTTTCTTTCCTTTTCACTCAGGGGGCGTTTGATACACGGGATACTTCGAAATTTTTGAGAAATTGAATTTTTTTAAATTTTAAATTTACGAATATTATCATAAACTGAATGTATAAATCATATTTTTGAAAATTGAGATTTCCGGCTAAAAAAAAACTCAGATACACGGGATTCTTCGAAATTTTCGAGAAATTGAATTTTTTTAAATTTTAAATTTACGAATATTATTATAAATTGAATGTATAAATCATATCTTTGAAAATTGAGATTTCCGGCTAAATTTTTTTTCTCATGTTTAGGGAGAAAAAAAAGTCGTTTTATTAATTAGTACCAAACCCTTGACCTATACGCGTATATGACCAGTGTCGTTATATGCAGTTTTCAAACCAAAAGACCAAGATAGGGAGAGAAAATGTAGAGGGCCCGGCACATTGGTCCCTCCAGAGAGAAAAAAATAGAGAGAGAAAGAGGAGAGAGGAGAGAGAGAGGGGGAGAAGAAAAAGAAAAAAAAGGGACTATGGAATAAAATTCCCAAGATAGGGGCTGTTCTATTTGAAGTTTGATTACTTGGATGGTCCCTTTAGGTAAAGCTGTAAGGGACTTAAATGGCTAAAAGCCTAAAACGGACTAAGAAGAATGACAACTCAGCGACCTGTGTAGTTTATTTGGGTTGAACAAGTGAGAAATCGTGCTGATGATTTATGAGCACTTCACATCACTTGGTTTAAGTTTCCAATTTCCCTTCCAAAATTGGGCAATATAAACATGGGCCATCATCAGAATATTCATCGTTTTGTGTAGAAAGACACCGATAATTATGGGGAAGGGCAAAAACATTATAAAATATAAATATTGGATATGATATGAGATCCACCGAGAACGCATGAAACGTGGCAGTATTACCGAGTTTAATGTCACATTTTCTTAACTTACAAAGAATAATAATAATAATAATAAATTCAATTATTATTATATCATTATTATAATTAGATACCTCAACCAAAATTAGTTTTTTATTATCATATTAATGACAACTTAAAAAAATAGATAAATTATTTGCAAACTTGCAAAACTTTTACTTTCACGCCGAATCTTAACTTTATTTATAAATTCTCATTAAATTATAACAAATTTTATAATGATATATGACCTGAGGTTTGAGCATGATGTTATGACCTATTTATGCTGCCTTAGCCACATTTATTGGAGGATTCAAATAGCTTCAATAACCTATCATATTCAAGGTATGTTTGTTTGTGGGCTATGCTTCTTAAATCTAGTTGGAACTAGATGTTTGTCTTTCGATCATTAGCTGTTGAGGGTTAGGAGCTCTGAGCCGCTAATGTTATAATTGTATGTTTGCGGAATGATATATATGCGGGATGAACACGCTTTCTTATTCCTTAAATATTAATGGGCTTCTTGAGCTTGAAATGAGTTGCTTGATTATACTTTCGTTAGATATTGATCAAGATCGGTCCCATCATGTTAATTTTTCAGATGATAAGATAATTAGGAGAGAAATAGATACACAAAGATTTGAAACATGGCACCACTCGTAGAGCCCTCTCAAAATTTTTAGAACCTGTTTACTATCTTTATGTCTATCTAAAATATTCATTTTCCAATATATACATGACATGATAACATAACAATACATGTAAGTACAAAACTTTTTCTCTCAAAGTTCATCAAAATTAAATTCAATTATAATACAGCACAATTGAAATACTTACATCTTGCAACTCCTATCGTTATATTGTGAAACAACTCTTAATTTATTTGAATTCATAATTTTGAAGGAAAGAAAAAGGAAATACAGCTCATGTTCTAAAAACAGCTCCTTTAAAGTATATTTGTTTATAAGTTTGCAAGTATGAGTGTGTCTAGAATTAAATTAGGCGACTTAAAATTACAATAAGAAAATATGAAGTTTTGAGATGTTGGACGTCACTATCCTACTAATGCAAGCCAGAGTGTGTATCCTTTGCCAATCAAAAGCAGAGTCAATCAAGTTGGAAAGTTTCGTATTCTATTTAATGGACTGATTAATACTACATAGCATGCATGCAGTGGCTGCTCTTACTAATGATTGTATGCTGGGATATAATTGAATTGGACTAAATTTTGACTTAAATAGATAGGTTTATGTAAAATATTTGAGGTATGATCTCATCAGTTAGCCTGCATAAGCCTAAATTATAAGTCTGACATGAATTAATTATATTTAAAAAAATAAAAATCTTAATCTAGATCTGTTAGCATGTTTAAGTTTATTGGATCTGGATCCTCTAATGTGTAAATTCACATAATCATATAATGTGGGAAATCATAACCATACAAAGGTGGATTAATGGTAAAAAAGGAGGAGAGAAAAAAAATGATAAAATAGGTAGTTACGAAATCATAACCGTTGATTTACCTTTGTACGGTTGTGATCTTCTCACATGACCATATCATGTTTTTTTGACACATTAGAGGATCCATTTCCAAGTTTATTAGACATTCAATAATTTAAAAAATAGTTAAAATAATATTATTTTACCATTCAAAGTCATTTAAATAATAATTTTATTTAATATAATATGATATAGGCTGACATATAAGCTTATAAGCCCTAAAAAAATATCTATGACCAACTTTTTAAATAAGTTTTTTTTTTTTAGAATAAACATGTTTTTTTAAAAAACTCGAATTTGTTCTATTTCACTGTAGGTGTAATATAGTGAAAACTTAATGTAAGTTACCCTGTTAAATCTCCTAAGAGATTTACATCCCTAGCCTGAGCGTGTAGCAGAAATTTCAAAACATTCTTTAATAACAATAGTTAATCAATCAACAAGGTATAACAAACAGACCATTTCTTATCTCAAAAGAGTAGTTTTTGGCGGTTTCTGGGCTCTTCGAGGTTTTACTATAACACTGCACTTTTTGTCCATGTCTTTTCCTTCCAGAGAACCTTTTTCCAAACAAAGTGTCGGTAGCATCAAACATTGCCTTCCTTTTCTTCTTTTTTTCTTTGGCTCACATTTCAAGTTAATCATGTCTTCAAGCATATTACATGCATGATGATGTTTATCTGTATGCATTTTCAATTGGACAAATAAGATAAATCATAAGACACATGCTCTAGAGACTAGAGTCTAGACGTATACGTTTGTTGTGTGAAAGAAAAAGAAGAATCTAAAGAAACTACCACGCTTCTAATCTTAATGATATGTAACCATCAAATAGTAAAAAATAATTTTATGTTTGTGGCCAATAAGAATCAAGACTGCAATGCACTATTTTTATGTGGAATAATAAAATAAGTGAGATCTAAAAAGCTTTAAGACCATCACTCTCATAGTCTCATGCAGTCAAATACTACAAAAACAAGAACAGTCAACACGGTAAAGGCTGCATACAGTTCATATTTTGTAAAGACGGCTAGCAAACAAGACCTTCACCTTCCACTGAATGTCATGGCATGGATTCTCATTCAATCCAGCTATGTATGAGAATTTTTAGAGCCGCACCATTGAACGACCACAAGTTGATTGTCTCGTAGGACAATCCAACAGAGACCCCATTTCTCTCTCTGCTTTTAATTTCCACCGCGAGTTCAAACTCAAACTCAACAATTTGAGGAGCAAAGCAAATCAAGCCACCAACCAGCACAAAGCTCAATCAATATTCTCAATTCATGGCCTCTTTCGAGTCTTCTACCTCTCTTCCACTCTTTCTCCATTCTCTTTCAATTTCCCTTTTCTTCATTTTCCTTCAAATTCAAACGAGTGCTTCCTCTGTCTCTTCAACACAAACACAAACACAAACACACTACATATTGCCTCTAAAAGCACAAACACTTCCTTCACGTGAGCTCTCTTTCCAGCACAATGTCACCTTAACCGTCTCACTAACCGTTGGCTCGCCCCCACAGAACGTTACCATGGTCCTTGACACAGGGAGTGAACTCTCATGGCTTCACTGCAAAAAATTCCCAAACTTGAATTCCATTTTCAACCCACTCCTCTCTTCCTCGTACACCCCAACCCCTTGCACCTCCCCCATTTGCACGACCCGAACCCCGGACTTCCCCATACCCGTTTCCTGTGACCAGAAAAAACTCTGCCACGCCACGGTCTCCTACGCCGACGCCTCCTCCATCGAGGGAAACCTCGCCACCGACACGTTCTTCATCGGAGGCTCCGCACAACAAGGGACAGTATTCGGGTGCATGGATTCCGGGTACAGCTCCAACACCAACGAGGACTCCAATACAACCGGGTTAATGGGCATGAACCGCGGGTCGCTCTCGTTCGTAACCCAACTGGGCCTCCCGAAATTCTCGTACTGCATCTCCGGCCACGACGCCTCCGGCGTGTTGCTCCTCGGCGGCGCCACCTTCGAGTGGCTGGGGCCCCTCCAGTACACCCCTCTTGTCAAGGAGACAACCTCGTTACCGTACTTCGACCGCGCCGCCTACACGGTCCAGCTCGAGGGGATTAAGGTTTCGGAGAAGCTGCTGCAGCTTCCGAAGTCGGTGTTCGTGCCCGACCATACCGGGGCGGGTCAGACAATGGTGGATTCGGGCACCCAGTTCACGTTTCTTCTCGGGTCGGTTTACACCGCTTTGAGGAACGAGTTCGCTCTCCAAACGAAGGGGTTGCTAACGCCGCTTGACGACCCGAACTACGTGTTCCAAGGAGCGATGGACTTGTGTTACAGAGTTCCGGCGACTATTCCGCCGCTGCCGGCGGTGACGCTGGTGTTTGACGGGGCGGAGATGAGGGTGTCAGGGGAGAGGCTGTTGTATTGGGTTGGTGATGTCAGCAAGGGGAATGATTCGGTGTATTGCTTCACTTTTGGGAACTCTGACTTGGTGGGGATTGAGGCTTACGTCATCGGTCATCATCATCAACGGAACGTGTGGATGGAATTTGATTTGGTCAACTCTAGGGTTGGATTCACTGACACTAAGTGTGAGCTTGCCAGTCAACGGCTACGCGTGCATCCTTAGGTTTTGGATAGGGTTTTATAGCCGTCTGATTAGAGAGATGTAATTTCTCCTTATTAGATTTTTTTTTTTTTTTTTCTGATTCTGGTTTTTGTAGGATGATCCCACATAGCCCAATCCATGGCCCACCCGTTTTGGAGATTAATTTTTTTTTTGGGTAGTTGTTGATCGGTCCTGTTTGGTGGTAGAGTAGGTTGCGGTTGTTCTAGTTTTGTTCTTAAATGATTAGCAGTCGGTGTCACCAAAAACAATTTTCAGATTTATTTCATTCTAATATGTTGGTATTAATTTAATTTGAGAGGTTGTGAGGTAGGTGAATCCGTTTAAGTTAGGAGAATGGAGGGTCTATCGAACTACATGGAACTTCAAAAACAAGTGTCGCACTGCAAGGGAATAATAATAAAAAAAAATGATACATTCATCTGATACTGCATACCCAAGTAGTTGTGACCAAAAAAACAGAATAGGTAACAAACCAAGCTAGGTGGCAAATGGGTTTAATCTATGGGGCTAACCTGCCTAATTTAACGGGTTGGGTTACATTTTCTTACTTGCCACAACCTGCTTCGATTCAGGGTGGGTTGAGTGCGGATCGGGTTGACCCAACAAGTTTTTTTTTTTTTAAAGTTTAATTGAATAGGATAAAATATCTCACCCAATCTCCCTCTTTAGCTCTTTTTTTTAAGGGTTGACCACTAACCCACCATAAAAAAATAGGATGAGTTGAAATTTTCAACCTTTTTCAAAAGGGGATTGGAACGGGACAGGACAAATCGTCCTCACTGCCACTCCTACTTTAAGAGATTACTGCATAACTTCACCTAGTACTTGTATACTTAGAACATTACTAGGATATCTATCCCAGGTTGCAATTTTGCTCATACTTACTAGTGAAGTCCTTAATAGTTAAAAGATCTTGATAATAAATGGACTTTTTGGTGTTCTTCCTAGTTAGAAGTTTCATGTAAATTTTTTTATTTAACAATGATTTATGTTTACGAACAAAATATTTTGGGCATGAAAATGAGATCAGTACTCTGGGATAATATCTGGTGGAAACCCTGCACTACCATATGCATATTCCGGCTTGCATTTTATTTTGACAATTTCAACCAACCTGCAGAAATCAGCCAAAAGTATGAGGTAAAAAAAAGTCTTTACTTAAATAATTACAGCTCATCAAAAGCATGCTTTGTTTGACCTTCATGGTTCTCACTGCAATGTCCCAAGCCTTGATAACATTACCCTTTCCAAGCTCAAAAGTGAAGATATTGTTATCTTCGTGTAGTGTCAAATAATTCTCTAGTATCAGCAAGCATGCCTTCATATAATGTACTGTTTGAGAGAAACAATGTTACAACAAGAACCAATAAAATCATGCATGCGTTGCTCCTAAATTTTTTGTCTCATCAATCAGATAGATTCGGATGAGTTAAGTCTAATAATAGATAAAAAGGACCACCATTTCAAATGGTTTTAATTACAAAGTCCATTGCCAAATGTGAAATTTATAATAGAAATTTATGATAGTTTTAATAGAAATTGATTCTTAAGATGACCTCCCTGAGAAGAGGGGAAGTGTGGGCAAGTTTCGCAGCAATGCATAATATTATTATCTATAGAAGTAGAATTGGTTTTTGTAAACCATAAAAAAGCATGGAAAATGTGAAATTTATAATAGGACTATGATTGAAATTCTTATAGCATTGGAATTGCAAATTTACAAACTATTTGTACATGTAATGCTTTGAATCAAGTAATGCATATGTTAATGTTCAACTTGTCATGTTTTTCATTAGCCCTATATGCTGTTTCCCCTATTTTTTCCTTTAATCTATTCTAATATAATATCTGCAGTTTATACCCTCTTCTGTTCTCTTGGTCAGACATCTTAAGGTAACCCAATTTGCAAAACCCTGATCTATCAAGCTCCAATTTTCCACAACATGCATAAAATGCTTGGGGTACAGATTGTGTTAGTGTTTACAAGCGTGGAACACAATATTTTCTGCTAAGATTGCTTTCCCTCTCGCTTCCAAAACCGATATTACTTCTATGTAAACCTTAAAGCCATCTAGTTTACAGAATCAGACCTTGATATACCCTAACCCTAGCTTGTAAATTTTTTAATTTCATTGCTATCCTATGCCAATTGACCATCATATCCCAACCAGACATGCTTTCTATCACTACTATAAGAGTGGTCCATGAAACACTGATCCCTATGTAACTTATAAACCTTAGTAAGCAATTCATATTAAAGGCCAAGTACTTTCATAGCAAGTGTTCCCATATATTTTAGCCCATACAAGTCTTACCTGAGTCATGTTCATCAAACTTAACAAGTTAATAAGAAATACAAGATAAGAGTATACCATTGGCCAACCGATAGAAGATAAGAGATATCATTCTTTTTATTCGACAAAATGAAGATAAGAGAATCTACAATTGAAATGACTACTAAAGAACCAAAGATTTTACTAGAGATGAACTACAGAGGACATGATACATCTTAATTAAAGATTACCAATTAATATAGTTCACCACTATACTAACTCCAAAGTATCAACATTACTGGCACAAGCATACCATCAACAACTCGAAAATCTTCTGTTGGAGCCACAGCATCTGACTTGCTTTTCCTCACTATGGTCTTGATGACTCCTCCAACCCTATTCAAATCAATTGCATCACACATGGTTTGCATTTGCACGCTGTTAACAAGATAAATTAAACACAAAACATAAAACATGGATAAGCTCACTACTGCGTTGGCCTTCACCAAGGTTGCAATATATCAAAAGGATTTTACACTTAAGAAGTGAATGCAAAGAATAAAAACATAAAAGGGAACAGATTGACACCAGACTGAACCAAAAAATCACAAATAAATTACAATCAACGTTGGTTACTTCAGCCCCACAATGCATAAATGATAAATCAATACATTTGTAAAACTATACTAGATCATGCAATTCAGACTCGTTTAATCACCAATTCTCACCACAACAAAAGTGAAAACCAACAATCCCATCACATTCTCCACCAAAAGTATGTAACTTTGGGCGTTTGGTAGAGGAGAAATATTTTTATATCAGGGAAATATAATTACTAGAGAAATGGTAAGAAAATGAGATTGGTAAGAAAATAAAAAAAAGTTGTTTGTTAAGCCGAAAAATTATTGGGAAAATTGATTTAAATTTTCTAAGTCTATGTTTGGTTGAAAGAAAAATATTGATAGAAAAATAGAATTAAATTACCATTACAACCCTTAAATTACATAACAAAGGTCAATGGCTTGGACCTCTTTCCAAAGATGGCACCTAAAAAGTGGTATTATCCGACACTATTTTGGTCATTTTGGTTTCTTGGTTCACACTGTCCTTTTTCAATTTTCACGGGAAACAAGCAAATACCATCTAAAAATGATATTATCCAACTGTATTTTTACACACAAAAGGCAATTACTGTGCAAATCCTTTTCCTATCTAAATTTTTGAAAACTTAGTACCAAACATAGACATCTAAAAACACCACATTCATTTGCCTAGATATCTTCTACAAAACCTCCTACCAAAGACACTCAGTGCTCCACTTTTCCATAACTTCTAAATCCCCATGCCCTTTGCACAACTCCCATAAGACCCATCATTCGTACACTTAAAAAAGATCGAATTTTTCAAAAAATCATATCAACCTAAAAATTTAAATTTGGTTTACCAAAAAAAAAAAAAAAACTTAAATTTGTAAAGGCTTGATGTACAAAATAGAATAAAGCTTAATAATATAAGAACTGATATATAAGGTCCGGTTGTATAAGGTCTACTTAAATTTTAATATTATTCATCGTTTGACATTATATTGTATCAGATAATGTATTGCATAAGTTAACACTATTAAGTGTTCAGTAATGTATTATAGAATCAGGTCAATGGGTCGGTTATCGAAACAGTGACCATTTTGCCACGTCTAGCCAAAAAAATTACCAGACTGCCACACCAACAGTAAATTTTCTCAGAATACCACGTGGAATAATTCGCTACACTGTTTAGCGAAATATGCTTGCAAATAATTCGCTACACAGTGTAGCGAATTATGCAACGTCAGAATGCACAGTCAGCAAATAACACATGTCAAGCAGGTAGTAATTCATTATCCTGTGAAGCATATTATGTTCGCGAATGTTTTTTTGACACGTGGCACACTTTCGCATGAAAAAGCTGATGTGTCATAATTCGCTACCACTAGTAGCAAATTTGGTCTGTAATATGACCACGTGTCACGAAATTATTAACATTATTGACACGTGACAATCTGTTAAAAAATATTATTCGCGTGATATTTGGATAAAAAATTTAATAAAATGTGACATTTTGTAACTCTTCCTCGATTATCAGTGACACAAAGATGAGTTTCGGAGAACTTGAGTGGCTATAGCCATCCGATGAAGCTCTTTCTCCGAGATAGAGCAAACGTGTTGAGAATATAAGACCAAGGGGATCCATACCTCACGCGCACATAAATGCATGAAACACGTGGCAATTGAAATGGCATGCGCGTGTTTTATAGGCTCCACTGGGAAGCGTGATTAAATAGATCAGAAATATTTTTAAATATTTCTAATCTATATTCTTTATTATTTTTATAAATTCTATATTAATACAAGCAAATTGTTAGAATGATTAAATAAAAGCAAATTGTATTTATATAGAATTTATAAAAATAATAATTTTATTTAAAATAAATAAAAGTAACTTAAGAATAAGTGATATTTTTTTTAATTATTTATGTTCTGATCAGACCAGATATGAAGTGGGTTGGCCAAACTGTATCAAGTCTGATCACATACGGTTGAAATATGGATTTTAGTGCTTGGTTTTGGGCCTTCAGTCAGGATGGGATCAAACTGCGTATCTGCCCTTTGCGGTAGAGCGTTAAGTCTGACTGGAGGTATTTGCGAAGACACTCCGATACTTAAATCAGTATTAGAGGCAGATGATGTATGTTGTTAAATGTAAAGGATGATCGTACCTGGGTGTTGAACCCTTTATTTATATAGTAGTTATGATGCTGCCTTAGCAAGGCGGCTTGGCTTCTGATTGACCATGTTTGGGTTGCAGGTCAGTACTAGGATCTGAGTTGCCTTATCTTTGTTAGTGTTTAGTTGTAGAGTCGCGGTAAGCTGGAGCTGTCCGTTGCTTATTGACATAAAGGCGCGGTGAGATTGCCTTGGACGTTTAGTTTGCTTACTTGAGGGGGTTTCATCCGCGATATAATTATTGCGGCTTGTCTGTCACGATGAGGGCATTGCGGGTTACGCGCGATAGTTGCCCGTCGCGCTTGCTCTGAATTCTTGGTGAGTTGAACTTTTCCGTATGTGATTGGGCCTATATTATCCGGATCATGTTCTATATTCACTTTTTTTGTACTTACTATTTTACTTTTTGTAAGTTATATATTAATCGTGTTATGACATAATTTATGCAACTTGAATTCATGTATCAATAATTTATCATATTCCTATTTTGTTATATGCCTGTATTTCTTACTGTGCGGCAGTAAAAACACCGAATTATCATAGTAAATCGCTAACCTTGCAGTTTTAAATTCCTCAATTCTATTTTTTTGCAAAGTAATTTCATTTAGATTTTGAAATGATTATTACAAAAAAAATTTGAAATAACGAGGTGAGGTTTGATTTATTTCTCATTTGTATTTTATTTGATATGTTTTCGTATATTATTAAAATAATGTTACATTATTTTTATATTATTTAGTGTTTTTATGATATTAAAATAAATGATGAATACAAAAATTTGTTTTCTTTACTTTTTTCTTGAAAATTATTGGATGCAATAAATAAAATAATAATAATGTGGTATTTTTATAATTATTAATGGAAAAAATATATATCTTTTTAAAAACTATTTGTTGGTTTTTTTTAGTAAATGAATTTAGAGGAAAAAAGAGAGGATGTTTGGATATACTTGATCAAGTAGTATGGTTTGTAATCTTTGGGCTTATCCGAGATGGATTAGTCTACTATGCGATATTTGGACTCATCTTAGACCGAGTAACATCCTGGACCTAGTTAAGTGAAAAAACTTTCGGGTAAATTTTATGAATGTATTTTATTTTAGGAAAAAAATATATCTTGTTTTTATACATAAAAAATTTCTCAGTCACACTTACACAAAAATAAGTGTGTTCTATTATAAAGAGAAGAAAAAATATATATTAATGACACCCGATTATTTTTATATCAGTGGAAAGAAATTGTTTTTTTTGTAGAAAATACAAAAACATTAAATTCTTTATTTTATTGTTAAATGAGAAAAATGTACTTTTAGAATTTAGACAAGTAGACACATGGACAAAATTTACGGGTGGTTTTTTTTTTTTTTGGATTATGTATGCGTTGTTTCGCGCACACAATTGTGAAATTTATAATTGGCAGGTATTATGTGAACACCGAAAATTACTAATATATACTGGATTCTTGATGTATAATTATTAAAAAGATATTAAACCTATGTACAAAAAAAAAAGATATTAAGATCTTTTTATTTATACAATAATACTTTGTTTATGAATCATCATAGATTCCCAAACTTTATCTTTTAGCATTAGATTTTAGTTCAGATGCAAAAATTTATGAAATTTTAATCTGAGGAAATTCAAAATACATGAATAAGGAAGGATAATTATGCTAAAACTTTGAAGTAATACAACATGATGAATTATTTACCAATAATTATTAATTCAAGTGATTAATTTTTTTTTCCTTAATCAGTATGGTTTCAACTGTGCTCGAAATAAATTATATTAGATTTTAAAAATATAGTATGATGAAGTATTTGAATATTTTGAGGTCATATAAAAAAATTAAAAGAACATATCGTTATTCATGGCTGATTATGTAATGAAATTTATAATAATTTTTCAACAATTGGAGGTTATTGTCTTAATTATTTTCATGAAAGGGATCGATAATGACCTTTCTTTTTATATAATAATATACAACTAGTCGATATATATATAGGGTTAGGATGATTTTATACCACTGTAAGTTACACTTTTAATCTTGTCCACTAATTTCATTTATATCTAAGGGCTCAAATTTTTTAGTAATGTGAGCCATTGGATACAAGTGGATCAATGGTAAAGATTGAGTGTAAGACTTCTAACTCTTACACCAATGTAAGAATATCCTGCCTCATATATATATATATAGTTGTATTGGACAATCAAACCGCCATTATATAATCAACAAACTAATTATATTCATTAGTGGTTATAAATTTATAATTAGGCTAATGGATAATATTAAGTATTGACTTTATCTTCCAATTTTTGTATTTTTAAGAAAATAAAAAAGAAAAGAGCCAGCGCAAGGTTTGAGACGGACACGCCATCTCCGTTCTCTGTCCCTTGTTTAATTGTTAATACATTATTATTCACCGCTGCCGGCAAGGGCATGTGTCTCTGACTTTCTATTTAAAACAAACTGAAACTAATATTAAGAATATAAATCTATTTCATGAACAGTACATTTAAAAATAGAAAAATGAATATTATATATGAATATTTTTCATTTTGTTTAAGGTTTTACTTATTATAAAGATTTTATACACATAATTATATTAGTAATATGAATATTGTATAAATTTAAAGATAAATAAATATTTTATTTTTAAT